AATGGCGGGTCAGGGCAACTTAGCACCAGCGGGCATAAAAGAGTGATATATATATTTATGTATGCATAGGATATTATATACACATTTAAAATTGTCTTACCATTGCTCGGGGAGAAGGAGGGAAGTTGAACACGGTAATTTTCACAGTTCATGTTCTGCTGATGGCACTCCTAATTGGGTGGGCCACCCAGAATCAAGCCTGTTTCGGGTGACATGAAGATCATGAAGTCATTTGGACTCAGAGGAATCTCAATGTGGCTCGTTTGGCAAGCCCAAGGTCGTTTGGAACCCATGCCCTGGAAGCGCAGGTGAGCGTAACAAAACGCAGCAAACAAAAGCAATGTTTCGATTGACATTTGTTTGATCCTACAAGGATGTCAAAGCAACAATACGCCTTTGCTGCAGGAAATCACTGCGTGGAGCTGGTGTTGTCATATGGTTTATTGTGGTCATGCTCGGGCCGGGCAGTACTTTTCGATACTTTTGTCAGATCATTGACAAACAAATTGCAGCAACACACACTGGTATGCTGCAACGAGAATGATGACGACGGCATGCAAGCTCACCGAAGCACAGAAACATGTGCCTTCGATTTCAGGCAAAATGTCAGAGCTGCCACTATGAATAGCTTGCCGCCAAGGTTCTGAGCCTAGAAAACAAAAGACTCGGAAGACTTATGCGACCACCGATCCAATGCGCAAAATGCAAGGTGTGCAAGAAATGCTTGTACAAGACCACCAGTTCGATCTGTCCGGGTGCCACACTGCTTGTGAACACCTGTTACAGTACGCAGATTCAGCTTGCCAAGCCCTTGCAGCTTGTGAGGTATGGCCACAAGCAGCCCAAGGATGCCGTGACAGAACGCATGCTAGTCTTCGGCCTTTGGTTGAGAACCATGTTGCCTTTTGTTGTACTATACTAAGCTTTATAGCTATTTTGGCTTAAGAGATCTCACCACCCAAATCCCGGAGGCAATTGAAGATGAAGTTGAATTTATTGTTGCACTGTTGCACATCTATCCGCCACTTGGAAGTTCACTAGCAACCTTAACGAGAGCCCCGTATTGTGTTCTTGTTCCATTGATAGTTTTGGTGCCGCACAGCACCCGACACAAATCCCCAGCAGATGTAGTGCTTCCCCTTTCGATGCTCCTTTCAGTCGATAGCTTAGTATTTGCTGTTTTGTGTGTACTCGTACTCGTCCAGAAAAGAATCTGCAGAAATCATGCTGCGCCAAGTTGGCAATCACCCTGCTGGTATGCCTGCAAATCTCCAGGCCGTACTTCTTCGATCTTTAGTCGCGTGTGTCGAAGCAGTACAACATATTTCACAAGGTTGTTCTCTAGTTCTCTAACACTCTTTAAAAAAGCAGTCTTCCGAAAAAGACATCCAACATTATACGTCTACATGCGTTCGCTGCTTCATTAATCCGGTGGGTCGCTGTCCACTGAGGTGCTTCCTGGCTCTTACCTCAGAGTACAAGGGGCAGAGTGCAACCTTGGCCATTCGCATCCTTTCGGTCTTACCAGCTTGAACCCAGGTGCCGTTCCCTCGTCGCAGGTTTGATTCTGAAGACTCTGTCGCAGATTCGCAAGTAAAGTAGACGAAATAAGTGAAAGTTGCAGCTGATGCTTTTTACATCTTTTGACTCTGGACATAATTGAAGCATGACCATAGTAAATTGTCCCCGGAGGCGTGGTTCGATCTCCACTCATGCTATTGGCTACTTGTAGCAACATGAGAAGAGAGGGAGAGAGATCCGTTTGGTTCTTTTCTCTTTTCACGAAAGGTAGCGGTTACGCTACCTGAGTTTTCCTTTTGCTTTAGCAAAATTGAATTATAACCAGAGTGGACACCCATCTCACTGAGAATCGCCATCCGACATTTCATTTTAGAGGCCGGGGGTGGGGGAACCCTCCCCTTTCAACTCCACCCTGGCGCGGCTAATTGTCAACGGCTACAAAACACCGTAAATACAAGTGGTTTCAGCTCCTCCAGTCTGCAAGAGTGGCCTCAAACCACGCAATTTACAGGGTTTTCTGTGGCTGTCCGGCCAAAAACCTCGTAAAAGCCGATGGTTTTTGAAGTGTCTAGGCTTCAAAACTGGTCGAAACATTGCAAAAAACCTGGAAAGATTTTGTCGGAAAGGTTTTTTCGGCGTTTGGAGGCTTCTAAATGGCACAAAACGACGGTATTTACACGGGCTTGTGTGCCTTCCCGGCACAAAGCCCTGTAAATTGCGATGGTTTTGGGCTATGCACGCTTCAAAGTGGCCACAAAACACCGTAAATACCAGTGTTTTCAGCTCCTCCTGTCTTCAAGAGTGGCCTCAAACCACGCTATTTGCCGGTTTTGTTGCGGAACGGGTTTTTTCGGCGCTTGGAGGCTTCAAAGTGGCACAAAACGACACTTACACGGGCTCGTGCGGCTTCCTGGCACAAAACCCTGTCAATTGGGATGGTTTTAAGCTATGTGCGCTTCAAAGTGGCCACAAAACACCGTCAACTCCCCCCTGGCGGGGGTCTTTGTCAACAGCTACAAAGCACCGTCAATACTAGTGTTTTCAGCTCCTCCTGTTTGCAAGAGTGGCCTCAAACCACGCAATGGACAGGGTTTTCTGTGGCTGTCCGGCCAAAAACCTCGTAAAAACCGATGGTTTTTCAAGTGTCTAGGCCCTAGGCTTCAAGCGTGGTCGAAAAGTACTTGGTGCTTCGAAACGTGTCTAGGCTTCAGTACTTGGTGCTTTGCCTTAACTTTGATCCTCTAGCAAGGGCTTCTGTTCAACAGGGGGGGCCCTGACCTCCTCCAGGGTTACGCCTGACTCCCTGCTACCTTTCGTTCACCCCCTCCTCTCTCAAGTTTTAGATCCGGAGATTCTTAGTTGTTGTGTTTCATTGTTGGGTGAATGTGTTGTCGCTTTAAGGAGAAAGAGGCGAACAACAAGAGCCCAAGTGGACCGTGCCAGCAAAGGCAACAGGAACGCCCATTGTGTGTTGTTCTGAACGGTTCTCAATCTTTGCTTCATTCAGACTAATTAGCAGGTGGTGCAGGAAATCATCTTTCATCCTGCCACAGTCCTTATATTTGGCAATTGTTTGGACAACTCAGGATCAAGAACGGTCACGAGTCAAGATAGCCAATGCGGCTTTAGCATTTTTAGATTACATCTTTTTACTTCTTGATTGCAGGTGAAAAGTTTGCCTGGTCAAAAAGCAAGACAGCTGGAAACTTGTCTTCCATACTGTCACGATGCTGAGAGGAGTCAAGCGTGCATGCTGTGAGCGTGTTCTTTGCATAGGCTTCTCCTGGAAAACCCCTTTCTTTTCCAGGCAAGGTGTTTCTGTTTGGCTCGAGAAGAAACACTATTCATCTGCCTCAGGACAGCTTGGATTCAGAGCTAAGAGCCTTGGCCTCTAGCCGCTCTTTTGGCCAAGGACTTGAGGCAGGGCATTTGTAGAGCGCTCACAGTCATCACCGTCACTGTGAGGTTGACAAAGATCAGCCAGATAAAGAAAACCCGGATGAGGCGATGTGGGATGCTCAGTCCAAGAACTTGGGAGTTTGCAATCTCTTACAGGATTTTGCGGCTTCTTTGCGAAGGCGCATCGAGGAGGCAAGACGGTCGAACATGTGGGCAAAATACCATTCTTGAGGTGTTCTGGCTAGCCTTGGGACATGCCAAGCATTTAGCCTAGGTCCAGGAATCAGAACGAGGTAGAGCCCTGCCTGGGCCCGCAGCACACCTTCGTCGCACTGCTTTTGCCTGGACTACTGCAGTGAGATGCAAAGGTCTGAGCTCCTCTATCTAATGGTCTGTGACGAGCGTGGAACTCACTCGACAGAGGTGTTTCAGAGTGGCACAAATCGTCCAGAGGCTCCGACAATTGGGCTACACCTTGGCCAACCCTTTGGAGGCCGGTGGATTGGTTTGAATTCAACCTTTTGATTCAAGCAGGCGCTCTCCAGCTTTGGTGGAAGGTTCAAGTGCGAGATGATGTGTCATTTCATCAACATTTTGCACCTTGCTTAGGCAGGCGGTCGAGCTGACCTTGGAGTTGTTGTGAGTGAAGATTCTCTTACAACAAAGTCTGTTGCCAAGTAGAGGAGGGCTGGCGAGCGGGCACCTCGTTGTATTGCTTCTTGGCACATTTTGTAGCACTGTCAGTCAAGTGATACCTAAGGTTACACTCCGTTGAGGTGCTTGAGTCGGTTGAGGCTTGCAAACATAGCGCCCGCAAGATTGCGCCTACACGCTGTTTCAAACCGTTGGCCAGGAACACTTGGCACAAAGCATGCCAGGAGGCATGGCTGCGCGAGCCACCCAGCTTGACTGAACCTGCAATGCCTGCTTGTCCTACCTTTAAGTTTGACATGGCTAACAAGGTCATCTTCTGCTCTTCTTCAGCAACTGGCCTTCGGTGCATGTTTGTGCTGGCTCTTTGTCAGTGGATTGCCATCACATTTCAAGCCGCAAGACTTTCATGGCATTCATTTTCTTCTGAACTTGGAATGTTTAAAATCCTTTTCAATGCCGAGAAAGGGCAGCCAGAGTTGTGAATCTTGATGTCGTTTCCGAAGGCTTTAATGTCCTCACTTCATCTCATCTTGTCATTGTCCCAAGAAACATTTTCTTGCTGATTCTTGCTGCAACTGGCTTTGCAGACTTTTTCACCTACAAATACCGTTGTTGTATTTAACTATCAACGATGCATGATGATGCATAGTATGCATCTCCTATATAACTCTCAGCACTACTCGCATGACATAAAGCAAATTGAGCTACCAAATAAACATTGGCCTCTAGCAGAATCCAGCCCGTATTTTGAAGCTTGCTTCATTGCTTCATACAAGCAACAGCTTGCTCAGAGAAGAAGTTCTACTTTCTCATACTTTCTCATCATGAGCAATCCGCTGCTTCAACGAGAGTTAAACAACGCTCAACGCCAATCACCTTAGACTTTACGTTTATGCCGATCCTGTAGCTGCCTCAATTGGAGAGGCACGCCTGCCAATCACCATGACCGGAACAAGTCACAACTACTGGTATGACTGTGACACTGTGAGCAGAAGAGTGCCTGAAGGCCTTATACTGCATGCTGTGATGCTTGTAGCAATCCATTTCACAAGGTTTTTCAGTGCAGCTGTGGCGCATGTTGAGAGGTTCTACCGGAGAATCTCCGGCAGAGTCGGGGGCGGCAGACATTTCACAGACTGTGACTGACTTGATGATCTGATGTGCGGTGACATGTGTTTATGTGGCTTGATGTGATGTCTGGTGTGGCCTGTTGTTATGTGTGGTTCTGTGTGATGTGGTGAACTGTCACGTTGTGCTTTGTGATCCGGTAAAGCGGTGTATTGCGATATTGTAAAGTTAACGGGCATCACAATCGCCTTATCCTGTTCAACTTTTCCATACTGTTTTCTTTGTCTGCCTTGTCTCCTTGTATGGGCACAGATCAGGCTTAGCAGCGTGTGGTTTGGGCAAGACAATTGCCTTCCCGGCGCAGGGTGTGCCTTCCCAATCCCGCGGGCAAGCACCGGCCAAACTGGCTGTGTGATGTGCGCATTGTTGCTTTTGGGTTGCAGTTGCACATAGGGAATGCAAATCCTCTTCCTGCGCCTGCCGACCTCATGAGTACAGCGACTCTGCTATTTCTGTAGCTTGGAAGCTTCCCCTCTAATTAAACTTTGACGGCCCAATTTCAATTGCACAAGGCTCGTGATTTCTTGATCGACATGGTTTGATAGGTTGCTTTTTCCCGAACGCACCTGGGAAGGGTTCTCCGCAAAGAACGGCTGCCAACTTCAACTGTCCAACTATCATGATCATGATGATGATGGATCATCA